AGCATCGCCAGATAGCTTGTTAGAAACGGAGACGCCACCCATACCTGCAGAATCAAAGACTCTGGGCTTGGAGTTCAGCAGTCACATAACCTTTGCAGGTAATTTTCCTGCCAGTGAAGGTTGAGAACCTTAGTTCTAGAATGTCAGTATGTGCCTGTTGCCTGCATGGCCAATGGTCCTCATCTCCAGCTGGGTATCAGACACATGAGAATTTATAAAACCTGGGACCCCTGGCTTTATCTCAGGGTTTGGGAGCTCTATATTTTTAACAACTACTGCAGGACATTCTGAAATGCAAGCTGATGGTTTTTGGAATCATCATAGTAGAAGGCTGATACATCCTGCATTCTTTTTTTTGGATGGAGTCTGTCACCGGACTGGAGTGCAGTGGTGTGATCTGGGCTCACTGCAACCTCTGCCTCCTGGGTTCTAGTGATTTTCCTGCTTCAGCCTCCTGAGTAGCTAGGACTACAAGTGCACAGCATCACATCTGGCTAATTGTTTGTATTTTAGTAGAGATGGGGTTTCACCATATTGGCCAGGATGGTCTTGATCTCCTGACCTGGTTACTCACCCGCCTCGGCCTCCCAAAGTGCTGGGATTACAGGAGTGAGCCACCGCGCCCCGCCCATCCTATGTTTTTTACATGCACTTTGTTCAGGATAAGGGCACTTCCTCTTTCCTTTTCATCTTGCAGATGTGGCTCCTCCTTCTCTAATTATCAAGACTTCCTTCTCCATTAGTCCTGTTACCCATTAAGTAAAGACAGTCATTCCCTTCCACATGCATCCTCCTCAGGCTGGATTGTTCACTGCCACATAAAAGCCACAAGTGAGTTTTATGGCCTCATGCATCCTTAATTAATCTGTCTTCTCAAAATTGTGTATTAAGTGAGTGAAAACATTAGCCTCTGGTCTAATCCACAAAGCATCATTTCAGAATCTTTGCATGACTTAACTGTTGACCCAGACTGGCCTCCCGTGGCCCAGTGAAATGCCACAGGTCAAGGAGGGAAAGACCTGACCACTTCCTGTCACCCCTGTGCGTCACTCTGCAAAGAGCAGGTGTGAGCCAGGACAAGAGCTGGAGACGTGGGCGTTATCTGTTTCTAGAAGAACTGATTATATTTTGTTTTGCCCACAGCTGTCTGTGTCCCCATCACCTTATCTGTCATCATCAGCGTGCACACCTGCATGATATTTTATGACACGACACACCTGCTGAAATGGAGCGTTCTTCATGTTTCTGATTTGTTGTTGTCTTGTGTGTACGTCATGAAGCATCAGAGCAAAAATGAGATAGAGCTTCTCTTCCATCCCTTCCTCATTCTTTATTACCCTCCAGCCCCATGGTGGGGTCCTAAAGCTGAAGGCCTACCAGACTGCTTCAGCCATCTCCAGAGGTGACTCTCTGGTGGGAGGACGAGTACAGGTGTTTTGCAAAAGCTCAGGTGATCTCAGTTCAAGTCCAGTCCCTGCCACCCAGGCCAGAGTGAGAAGGTGGGCACACCTCTGGGAGAGCCCCTGATTTGCTGCTGCCTGCCCCTAAGACTAAGTGGCTTGTTAAGTGAATGCCTGATAACCTTGCCCCTGGTTGGCACCTTTTGAAGGTAAGGACAGGCTCATGAGTACTTGGCCGAAGCCTCGGACATCCTGTCTTAGGGCAGCATAGACTGGAATCTCTCCCTTTGGGGATAAGTGCTCATAGTTGCAGTTGGCCTTTGCATGACTTCAGCACTTTCCAGAAGGTGAGCCTCCCGGAAATGCATCCCAATTTCTTCCACATGAGGAGACACTGTCTCTATGAACTGGAGAAATAAGGAGCTAATATTTTCAATCTGTAGTTAACTTAAACTCTTTAATCGTTCGGAGAGGGGTAGGCTTGTTGAGAAGAGGAAGGTCAGAGAAGAGGAAGTACCCCACCCAGACGTGGCGTTTACAGCTTCTGCACCCAGGCGCCTTTGGGCCTCTCTCAGTACTCACACAAAGGCCTGGACGAGGCTCCCCAAAGCCCCCACTCCCAGCTCTTTAGCTGCATTCCTTTCTCTTCCCATATTGTGCTACCTATTAGAAATCTCTGGTACATCATTTATTCCATCCTATTTGTATGTTTGTCTTTGTTACGAGGAGAGAATAAATGCATTGATTTTTACTTGCCCAGACGCTTTGGACAGAACTGCTTTCCGAGTATTTGAAAGCCATTTGAATGAGGCCAGGACTAGCTGAACTTCTGTTCTTGACAGCAGCAAATACCTCGTGTTTTAAAAGTAACAATCTAATGACATAACTAGGGCTGAGGTTGCAAGCTGGACTTGACTTGGCCAGAAAGCACAATGGAAACAGGAGTTGGGATGAGAATGCCAGAGATGAAGGGTGTCACGGATGTCATAGCCCTGCCCTGCGGAGCTTGCCCAAGGCCAGGGCTGAAGGAGAGACCCCAGTAATGGGTGTCGTGGCCTCCCCACCGTGCTGCCCACTGCCATTAGGATCACCTGGGAGCTTTGAAAGCATCCCAGGGCCCCCAGGCTGCTCCCCAGACCAATTCAGTCAGAACCTCCCTGGCGGGACCGGGCCTCTGAAATGATTAGTGCTCCCCAAATGCCTCCAATCTTGAGAACCACTGGGCTTAAGGAGTTTGTTTAAACAGGTGGGTTTGAAAATGAAGCTAAGAGGAATCATCTGGCTACAGTGTTTTTATTGTTTTTTGTTTTTTTAGTAAAGGGAAATAGAGCCATGCTAATTAGCACAGGTGTACGTTTGTATGTGCATAGATGCTCATACCTGACACTGCACAGAGGTGGTGGCTGCCTGCATGTTTACAACAGTGTCCATATTTGTAGCTTTGGAGGAAGGTTAGAGCCACAGGACTCTCTTTTTGACCCTGCCTTCGCAGACACACCCAGTTGGTCAGCAGACCCAGCTCATTCTCCCTGAAATAGAACTCTGCCCTAAAATGCTTCTTATGTCCTTTCCTGTTCATCTCCATTGCCACTGTGTTCACGTGGCCTTTTCTGCTGCCCTCTCTCAATAAAGGCCCAGCTGTCTTCTCTGCTGGGCTTCATCCACCCTCCATTCACCACACCTGGTTTGACTGTTGTGCTGTTAAAACCTTTACTGTTGTCAGGTGCTCACAATAAATGATAATGATAATGGTTGTAGCTGACCTTTCCCCAGCATTTACACGTGTGTTGTTGACTCCTGACAGCAGCTCTATGAGGTAGCACTCTTTCCCCCTTTTCCATGTGGGGAAAGTGAAGCACAAAGTAACTTGCACAAGGGCAGCCAGAGAGTCAGGTTGGGCCCATGTATTCTGGCCCCAAAGCCTCTGCCGTACAGGCTGGGAGAGCTGCTCTGTGCTTGCAGACTTTTCATCCATCATTTCTCATCTTCACATCCCTCCTGCTGGGTGGATATTATGACTGCTATTTCATAGAATCCAGGCTGGGAGAGGTTGAGTAACTCGACCGAGGACACAGAGCTAAGGAATAACAACAGGGGTTCGAACAAGGTTTTCCCCCCTCCACGATCTGCCTTCTATCTGCCTAATCGCTTGGCATTGTCTAAATTCGTCTGTCCTCACCCCACCTTTCCAATTTCTTTCTCCTTTCCCTTTTCCTTTCCTTTTTCCTTTCCTTTCAGCAAGATCTCGCTCTGTTGCCCAGACTGGAGTGCAGTGGTACAATCTTAGCTTGCTGCAACCTCCACCTCCTGGGTTCAAGCAGTTCTCTTGCCGCAGCCTCGTGAGCTGGGATTATAGTCAACCACCAGCACAGCCCCACTAGTGCTTAGAACATTTTGCCACGTTGGCTAGGCTAGTCTCGAACTCCTGGCCTCAAATGACCTGCCCACCTGGGCCTCCCAGAGCATTAGGATTAGGTATGAGCCACTGCTCCTCCGGGCCCCAACTATTTTCTCTTCCTTGATTAAATCATGCCATCCCTCTTTTGGCCCTTTGCCTGAAGTGTTCTTCCCTGCTCAGTGAGGACCTCATTCAGCTGTTAGATCTCCCATGACAGAGGACCCTTGTCTTGCTCGTAGCACACTGCGTGGAATTGGCACACAGCAGGAGAGGGTAGCCGTCTCATTTTCTTGCCACTTCAAGAAGCCCTGTAAGAATGTGTCTCCTTGTGGCCCCCTTAGTGTGTGAGGTTTGCGTCGCACATCTCACCTGCACAAAGGGACGATGAATAACTTATATTCTTGGGTACATGTGTACCTTCTTGCTAGATGGCCTCTTCAGGCCAGGTGTCCTTTCTCCCTCGCTTTCCTCTTGAGGCCAGAGCATTGCCTGGCAAGCAGCAGGTGTTCACCATGTATTTACTAAACGCAGGGCCGACAAGAATATGAAAACCGGTGGAAATGGTAATATTAGGTTGGAGGACACTTGGCAGGGTCATAGTGCTTAGAACAGTCGGGCGTGTATTTACCTCATGGCCTCCAGGAAATGTACATTGTTTGGAAATTTCCAGAAGGAAGCAAAGAGCAAGTGATTACCCGGCTGGGCTCATTTAGCTTGCCCATTTTGCCAGCTAGGTTTTGTTAAGTTTGTTTTCATTTTGAGGCAAGGGGCGGGCTGGCTTTGCTAACCTCCTGCTGAAAATCCCCTGGTTCCTCTGTCTTCCTGCCGTGGACTTTTTCCGTAGTATCTGCTTGGGAGTGTATGCACAGGCTTCAGGACTTTTATAGGACTTCACCGGCTGTCTGGCATGGAGGTTTGTGGGGATTGAGAAACCAGTGTTTCCAGGAGAGGTGGAACCTTTCAGCATGGGAACAGGTGCCAGGAAAAGCATTGTTGCTCCTGGGAAAGTGAATTTGTTAACCGTTGAATTAGAGTTATGCTGGTAAATAAACGTCTTTCTGATTGTCCAGGTTAAAAGGCATTTACACAGCTGCCTTTTTTGCACCTGGCGGGGAGGCTAGGTGGGAGGGTTCCGGAGGGAAGGAGAGGCCTCCTGGGCAGATCCTTGGACTGGCTCTGACGTTTCTTCTTGCCCTTCTCAGGTGAGCGTCCTGACCACCCTGGAGCGCAGGTTCAATCTGCAGAGCGCTGACGTGGGTGTGATCGCCAGCAGCTTCGAAATCGGGAACCTGGCGCTCATTCTGTTCGTGAGCTACTTCGGGGCGCGCGGTCACCGGCCTCGCCTGATCGGCTGCGGAGGCATCGTCATGGCGCTGGGCGCGCTGCTGTCGGCACTGCCCGAGTTCCTGACCCACCAGTACAAGTACGAGGCGGGCGAGATCCGCTGGGGCGCCGAGGGCCGCGACGTCTGCGCTGCCAACGGCTCGGGCGGCGACGAGGGGCCGGACCCCGACCTCATCTGCCGCAACCGGACGGCCACCAACATGATGTACCTGCTGCTCATTGGGGCCCAGGTGCTCCTGGGCATCGGTGCTACCCCTGTGCAGCCCTTGGGGGTCTCCTACATCGACGACCACGTGCGGAGGAAGGACTCCTCGCTCTACATAGGTAGGAGCTGCCCCAGACGCGTTGGCAAGAGGCCAGGGTGTGTTGACCATGGATAGAAGGGTGGGCCAGGCCGGGCGCGGTGGCTCATGCCTGTAATCTGAGCATTTTGGGAGGCCGAGGCGGGCGGATCATGAGGTCAGGACATGAGACCATCCTGGCTAACATGGTGAAACCTCCTCTCTACTAAAAATACAAAAAAAAAAAAAAAAAAAAAAAAAAAAAAAAAAAGCTGAGCATGGTGGCACATACCTGTAGTCCAAGCTACTCGGGAGGCTGAGGCGGGAGAATCGCTTGAACCTGGAGGCAAGGTTGCAGTGAGCTGAGATTGCACCACTGCACTCCAGCCTGGGTAACAAGAGTGAAACTCCATCTCAAAAAAAAAAAAAAAAAAAAAAGTGGGCTGATGGACTCTGATTTTGCAGGAGTACTGGTTCTCAGACTTGGCTGCACACCGTGTGTTCTTGAAAAATACTCATACCTGGGGGTGCAACCTGGGCATTGAGAAGTGTTTAAACGTTCCCAGGTGATTCTCATATGCAGCCGAATTTGAGCTCCACGGGGCTAGACCGCTAACACAGTTAATGGGAAAACATGATCAGGAGGAGCTGTATGTTTATTTGCTCTTTTTTGGGTGTGTTTGGAGACTTTGCACTTTCTCGTGTCAGCCACCAAGGCACACTTGGGGGTCTGCACATTGGAAACTCCGGATTTTAGGAATCAAAATGATGTCCTGGCTGGGGGCAGTGACTGAGGCCTGTAATCCCAGCACTTGGGTAGGCCGAGGTGGGTGGATTATGAGGTCAAGAGAGGGATCAAGACCATCCTGGCCAACATGGTGAAACTCCATCTCTGCTAACTAAATATATAAAAGTTAACCAGGTGTGGTGGTGCATGCCTGTAGTCCTAGCTACTGGGGGAGACTGAGGCAGGAGAATTCTTTGCACCTGGGAGCGGAGGTTTGCATTGAGCTGACAGCGCGTCCCTGCATTCCAGCCTGGCGACAGAGCAAGACTTCACCTCAAAACAAAACAAAAAGTCCTGGTTATCATTGTTCCATCGCAGCTTAAAAGGAGAGGTGATGGCCTTGCCAGCATTTGGCGTAATTCAGAGTGGATGACTTCCGGTCATTTTTTAAAATAATGTAGGTGTGCATGAGAATTGAGTATTTGGAGAGAAATAAGGTGTTTGTGTTTGGAAAAGTCATTTTCCACAGTCATAGTTTCAATGTTTTATGCTGGAAGGATGGAAGCCACCTCCGGGTGGGGGTCAAGTAGCATCTGAGAGGCAAGTTCATGTGACTGGCAGTGTTTTCAGTCGCTGCTGTGGGCTCTGTTGGCTGGCTGTGTGTAGGGTGAGGGCTGGCCAGCCCAGCATCTCCAGCCCTTGTCTAATTTTGTCTCCTGTCAGCTGCTGTATTGTTCTGACACATCCCCAGTCACTGAGTGCTAAGCTTTGAAAAAATTACCTCTACCCAGGGAAGCTTTGTGCCTCCCCAAGGCAGAGTGCCTTGAGGTGGAAAGTTAATTATATTATGGAGGTTTGAGTGAAAATAGAATTTGAACTGAACTTGACATAAAGGTTCCTATCTGTCAAGCTTTAAGCTTTCTGAGATAGGACGATTTGGATGCAGGACACACCAAATGCAGATTTTTTCTCTGTGTCTTTCTGGCTTAGCTTTGGAGTAGATGCATTTACTCAACGTGTATGTTGTACGTGGATGTTCTGACTGTCTGCCAGCAGGCTCTGGGCAAGAAAGGTGGAAGGAACGTGCCTCTCCGTTCAGAGGATGGAGCGGCAGTGAGCCTAGTCACCAGCTACCTATGGAACAAGGTGGAAGAGAAAAAGGCTCAGGCCAGAGATGGTTAGGAGTTTCGGTGATTACCAGAATGTGGGTATGGTGGAGGAAGGGGACTACGGTAATTATTTTTCTGTCGTTGCCTTAAAGCTTAAGTGAAAGCCACTCCACGTGAGTTTTTGGACACCAGGAAGTGGACTACAGCATGTAGCTACAAAGGCCTCCTGAAGTCTACCCTCTGATTTGACGGATGTCACCCCAGGACTCTGGGAGAGTTGTTTTCCAGTAGCAGTAACAGGAAGTAGACAAATCAGAGCACAGGGAATGAAATGGCGGGTGAAAACCTGAGTTGTTGTCTCTGCTGATAGAATCTAGTAGAACAGTTTCTCCCCAGAATCACCCCTGAAGTCCCAACCGTGCTATATCACTTCTTGGGGCTTCCAGATGTAGTAACTGAACCCTCTTTTGGAAGTATGTCCGGATGAGTTAAGCTGTGCTGTTTCCCCAGAAGGGGTGAGGTTTGGTTGGTGCCTTTCTGGTGAGGAAGCACTTTGGTTTGGCACAGTGGGGTGTGGGAGGTGCAGGCATGGAAAGTAGAGCTGATCCTTTGAGGCAGGAGGCCTTCTTGAATTCTGAGGCCTTATCTATGGGATTTGCATTGAGTCTTTGGTAGGAAGAATGATTCAGCCAAATTTCTGTTTGGTTACCCTGTTCCTCTATGATGTCTGAGTTGGGGGAGTGTCTTTTTGCCTGATGTACGTACATCTTTGTAGCTTTGTTACATAGGACCAGATGCCAAAGGATCGTAGCACAGGCCGTGGAGATGATAGTTCTGAGCCTCTCTGCACTGATTTCATGGGTTTGTGTTTACAGAGAGAAGGAGAGAATGAGTCCTTTGCATAGACTGGCCTCACTAGATGGCCTTTTATTCTATACGTGGTTTATTTTCCAGGTGTAATTTAAGATCGTAACATATGCAAAGTGTAACTGGCTCATTCATTTATTGTACGAGCTATACAAAAGTACGTGTGGCAGTGAGAATATTTCAGTTTATCTCCTCTAACATGGCACTAGTTCCTGAAGCCACTTAAATTTACTTCAGAGAGTATTTGGGGTAGCCCGCGGAACATGATTGATACGGATTTCTGGCCTCTTAACTCCCTGAAGAGGAGGAAGGTCTCAAGGAACGGATGCTGGGACTGTAGGTGTAAATGTGTATCCATTGAGGAAGAAGAAGACGTGTGCCCCTGGTTCCAGCTCCTGCAGAGCTGGTCTAGAGAGGGGACCACAGCCAGCTGTCTGGTCATAGGCCTAAACTGTGATACTCTGATGGGGATTGACAGGATTATAAATGAGGTGTGTGTAAAACACACGAGTGTTCTCGACCTGAGCCTTCCCTGTGGGTGTCAGCAGGGAAGAGAATGATCGACAGGCATGCTCCAGGCTGCAGGTCAGTGGTGATACCTGCCCTGTGCCTGCATAGTGGATCTCTAGATGAGTACTGTTTGCACATCAGTGGCCGCGTCATAGCTTCTACGACAATCCGGGGAAAAGTGAAGCATTCCATCTTGAATCAAGCTGACATTTTCCACTGAAGTGACTTACTTGCTTTGGCCTCTTGTGGCTAAGCTGCTGCCAGACTCCTGGATTCCTGGATGGGCTGTGCACGAGGGGCTCCTGTGGCTGGCACTGGTCTTCGGCCAGTCCTTTCCACCGTGGGAGGGAGCCAAGGGAGCTCATTACCAGGGGACAAAAGTGGATGAATGGGGACTCAGCTCCGCTGGCAGGCTTTCACCGCCGCGGCACCCAGCCTCACAGGGCAGCCAGACGGTGACCGTGGGTGGCACGTGGCACTCTTTGTTCCTAGAGTGACAGCATGGGCAGGGTGGCAGGGATACCACTTGGCCCCTTCTGGGGTCCGAGAATTCGTTCTTTGGGAGTCTAGTCACGCCCGTAGCTCCATGTTGTGACCTTCCATTAGCCCACTTTTCTTAGCTGTCCTTCTGTTTCTCTCAGTTCAAAACACAGTCGTATTTGCTTTTTATGAAAGTGTGAGTAGGATGATGTAATGGACGTACTGTGCCCTGTCAGTAAGCTGCCCCCTTTTCTTTTTCGAGGAGGAAAAGGTGAAATAGGAGTAGTAAAGATTTCTAGATAGCTTTATTCCTAGTTCAGAAACATTACATGGTCACCATTTACAATTTAGAAGATGTAAAAAAAGGAAAATTAGAGAATATTTACTGGAAGCTTTACGGTATACATAATTCTAATTTTTTCTGCATTAGTATGCTTTTCTCTACGAAAATGTGTTTATGATAAACAGTGTTTTGTAATTTCATTTCTCTTAATATTTCATGAGCATTCCTTTGTTACTAAATACTATTCTGTGGCATTATTGCTGCATATATGACATTTCCTTCTGAATATGTATGATAATAGTTAATACTTTGTATAGCTGGACATAGATTTCTTAAATTTCTTAAATTTCTTAAATAGCTAAACTGTGATTCTGAGAGGCTGAGTGACTTACCCAACCTCATTTAGCTGGATAGGGCTGGGCTCTGGGTCTGAAAGTGACGCTTATTCCGGGTATGTCTGGGATTTGCTCACAAGGCTGGGATGGGAGCTTAAGGGTGGTGCAAGGTCCAGGGGGTCCGGTACAGGTCAGGGCATTCCACGAGACAGCCAAAGCCTCCTGGGCAGAACAGTCGCAGCGGGAGGCAGGAAGATGGGAAGACAGCAGCGTGTCTGGAGCCCAGGGAGAAAGGTGCTGCCGAAATGGAGAATGCGTGTCAGAGCCAGAATGGAGAGTTGGAGGTAGTCTGGAGAGGAAGGTGGTCCTAGCTAGCTGTTCAGGTCTGGGTTCTGGAAGGATGTTGTGCCTGTTTCGTAGTGCTTTGAGCCGAGATGGCAGCAAATCAGACCTTAGACACCTGGGGCAGATCTGTTCCATCTTTTGCTCAGCTCTTGCTAGCAGTGTGAAGGACGCCACACCTTCACGTGCTATTCTTTCTATTCTTGAACCACAGTAACCACTAGAATTTTTTGTTTTTAAATGTTATGTTAGAAATAGGCCTCCTTACAACTGAGTTCAGGTTCTGCCCTCTGGACCTACCATGAAAAATTCCTATCCCTCTTCCATATTTTGATGACTCCCCAAATAGTTGAGCACTAACCTTTCACAGGTAGGCAGGGGAGGGAGGTA